AATTGCTTCCTGGGACACGGATGTTCGCTTGTATTGGCAAAGGGGTTTAATATATTTGAATAATTCACTTGACCACATTGTGAAGACCACATTGTGGGATTCGAACCCAAACACCGGGGAAGGCCTTTGTACGGCTAATGCTCAATCAACTGGGCTACGAATGCGCGCCGAAAGCCTAAAGATTGAGGTCGTCTGTAATCAAGCAGATGACAGCTGCGGCATGAAATACCTGCCAGAGACAAAGGTCGTAATCCTCCCTGGCGTTGGGTCAACGATGCACGCAACCAATGAGAAAGGAAGGTTTCGATTTCGGCCATTTCTTTTACCCTGGCTGACGAGGTGGCAGGTATGGATACGAAAGGCCCGGCACTTATTTTCCAAGCTGTGTTTGCACTAAAAATCCTTACTCGAAGATGGGTCGTTCTTCGTCCGGCTATTGTCGAGCATTTCTTCACGTTCCCGCGAACTGAGGATTGTCCTTATTTCGCACAAAGGTGTATCAAGTCCCCAGCCGAGATTGAAATATCACATCAAGAAGAGTTAACACATCCTGATGATCCAGAATAAGCACAAAACAGTTGACTGTTGCTGCTATCGTTTTTGGATCAACCTACGCACGCTGTAAAGCGCTATAATGTAATGGGAACCCTAGAGACTGCTTTGGTCTAGACTGCATAGTCAGATTAAGAGAAAAACAAAATATACGACATTGCATTATTTTTATGTAGCGACTAGTACAAAGCCTGACTAAAATCGAACCCGAATGATATCAACGGTACGGGGAAAACAATATCGGTAAGCTGGTATGATGAAATGTTAAATATAGGCGAAGAGCCTTTCAGGCCTGGGACTTTGGCATGCCGGGCAGGGGAAATGAACTCGCAAATTCGATAACCTCTGCGCGGATCGTCTTCACGCAAGCCTTCACCTCCTCATCAGAAGTTAAAATAGCCTTGAAGGAATGAAAGGAAAAGGGGGAAGACACTTTAATCAGCAAACCAACGATATCGTGGGGGAGGAACATTCAGTGTTCTTATTATGTGGAACATGTTGGCCTCGTCTGGGCTACGGACTGAACCTGGAGTCCTCTCAAAGGCGATCGCGAAGCGACCAGTAATGTATGCAGGAAAGGATATTGGCAAATAAAGGGAAGACTGGGATGGTTATTTCTGGCTAAGAAGACATAATCAGCCAATCATACATAGGTCCAAATGACCTGGGGTTCAAACCTAGTTCCTTTGATCGTAGACCGTCCAGTAGCCGAAAACGTTGAAATTGAGCCAAGCGGCTGTTTTCCTGTCGGTTGCTATCGACAGTATTAGTAGACATCATTACGCTTGATAGCATATGATATGCCTGCGGAAATGCAACTCATTTTGGCTCTTGGTTTCAATCGGCAATATTCAGTGCCGTAGGAATGGTCGGGTGATGAAAGGTCCTGCACCCCCTTTCGATATGCATACTGAAACGATTTAAGTAACTAGAATTGCACTGGTTCGCATTTTCTCGGGTAGTTATAGACGGGTCCTGGGGCTTGGTTGGGGATTTCAGAATTACGTAGGTGGGCGAATAGGGGTGTAGGGTTAGGCTTGGGGACGTTGACGATGGGTATTAGGTTTTAAGCTTTGGACCAGGCTGCAGTTGTGAAATTTCGGATTTGATCCCCGACTTCAGCTAAGGATTCGGTGTTGGAGTTCGTAAATAGGATTATTAATTAAGGCCAGTAGAGGGGCTATTGGTTAGGGTTAGCTGTTAGGCCTAGTAGTTGGGTCTAGAGTCAGGGTTAGTTGATAAAGTTAGTAGTTGGGATTAGCAGCTGTTATTAGTAGTAGAAGTAGCAGTAGCAGTTAGGGGCAGAAGTTAGGGTTAGTAGTGTGGCTTCATAGCTTTTCCTTTCTTTAAGCCCCACACACAACTAACACAAGTTCAAAACCTCTAAATCTAACCCCGCACCTCTCTTCCCAGAGTTATCTCATTCTAAACTTCGCAATCAAACGCCCTGTGCAGCACTGCCCTAGAGAATGCAAGCCAGCATAATCATGACTACTTAAATCATTTCAGTAAGTTCACCGTAAGTCAACTATCTAGGGAGCTGCGTAACGATTCGTCCTTGAGGAGTATTCACAAATCAGGACGCAAAACCTTCTCATGGTGTCCTGCCTTGAGATGCAGGAGTGACAATACTCTGTCCTCCC